AAACATTTTTACTGCCCCCGATTACTGTTGGCTGTATTTGCATATCGTAATTTATACTTTTTTTTTTCATTTTTTTTTTTCATTTTTTTTTTTATTAATGCCATGTGGTCCCATCTGATGAAAACATTAAACCACCCTGGTTCTGACAGCCGGATGCAGTTCCCAATCGGGTCAATGTAGCTTAATGGCCTTTTCGCTAAATAGCACAAACAAACTCAAAGCCTCAATATGCTGAGAGAAGCCACCGTGTTCAGATTCTTAAACCAGAGTCTATGTTGAACTCCTAAATCGATGAAATCGGAAGGCTCATAATATTCATACCGCTGCCACACACAGATTTGGGGAGCTGAACACGACGTTGTGTAATAGGATTTCTTGCTCTTAGTGTTAGTGGGCGGATTAAATTAGACATGTTCTGGGGGGGGTTGATCCAACGTTCATCCCATTTTGGAAATAAAAGAAGCATTTCTATGTACATATGGGGACCGGTTAATCACCTGAATGCCGGTGACACTTACTGACACACTGACTGACCGAAGAAGTGGTCCGTTCTTAAATCTCACAAAGATGAGTATAACGGACATTCCCACTTACATAAGCGTCCTTTACGCCGTAACAACCACGTAAGAACTGTCTTTTCAAACGCGTCACAAACGTCCAGGCTGAACTGAGTCCCTTCAGTCAGACGACATGAAGCGCAATTCCTCCATCTTCCAACAATTAGCACCACCGTCATTCCTCTTTTCCAGAACTTGCCGGCATATAATGACTGAAACTGTTAAATGGGCGCGACTTCATTACGCCGTGGCCTCCGGTGCTTTCTGGCTGCCTGCACAAAGGGAGATAAATGCGGCGCTCGGCAAAACCAGCGGCGCGCATTTGGACGGTTCGAGGTGGAGACGGCCAGATGCGGTCAGGTCGGTCCACGGGCGTCTCCGCGCTTCCTCTCTGAGGTCGATCAAGGGTAAACCGGTCGGATTGAAAAGCTTCTACCTCCAAGCGTCACGCACAAGTATATATATATATATATATATATATATATATATATAGTTCCTACCAATGGATTCAAACCACTCTGAAAAACTGTGGAGGACTACCAGCCGTGCAGCGCTTCTGACCCCTTCAGCCCCTTGAAGCAGATTTGTTTTGGTTTGAGCCATTTTGACTTTGCAGAGCCCCGCCTCCTCCGTCCGTCCGTCACGAGCAGCGTGATCCGGGATGAGCGATGGCGCCCGGCCTCCGTGAAGATGTGGGCTCTACAGTCACCGACCTCCCGCTGCCTTCATCCTTCTTGTTCCTGTCAGACCGCCAGCAGGAGGAGGCCGGGTAGGGCTTCAAGGTCCTAGCGGGGTTAGCTTAGCATCTCTTACAGGGTTTTTTTTAGTGGGGAGGGGAAGCAGGGGGGGTTTTTTCTTGTAGTTTACAATCTAAATTACCCAAGATGGCTTGGGGATGCTGTTCAGTCCCCCTCACATTTGGTTGAAACCAGCCCGGGGTTTCTCGATTTTTGTGCGATGGCGTGACTCGCGTGTGCGTGTTGCACGCCGGGAACAACAAGGCGCCGTTTAGTCTGAACAAAGAGAGCAGCGGACAATAAAAGAAAATCCGACGCAGTCGGAAAACAAAGGGTGAGACTTCACACCAATAAACACAGAGCACCAAGAGACAAGCAGAATCTATTCTCTATTTGTTTTTATTGGATCTGTGTGTGTGTGCGTTGTGTGTCCTGGCCGTGCACACTGCAATCCAGGGAGGCTTTCGTATTGACTGTATTCAAGGCTCAGCTGTGATATTGCAGCACGGGTCCTTTCCTCTGCTCCATCGCTCTCCTCTCCGTCCTCGCTACGCAAACAGCTGATGGAAGCCTTTCGATAACACCGGTATCCAGACAGCAGCGAGCGCCGCAATATTGGTTTTCGAACGGGGAAAGCTTCATCGTGCTCACAATACCCCCAAAACAACCTCCAGTACATGTTTCTTCAGATGGATCACCGCGTGGTTTGTAATAAACGGAGCTTAATGCAAAAGGCGTGTTTTCCTGAAATGGAGAGAAGGGACAGAATGACTTTGCTCACAGCGAGAAGCCGTTGGGTGTTACTTGAACTACCGAATTTCCACATGTTCCGGCCTCCATCCTTATACAAAACAGGGAGGCAGTAACGGTGAGAGTCGGCCTCGCTGCCAATGGCTTCCGTAGGCCAACCGTAGCAAAGCCTCAAAGTAGGCCAACGCCTTTATAGAGAAAAACTGGAGCGTAAAACGGTGGACGGGACACCTTGGACTGCAGACAAGGTCATTGCCTCTGCCAGAGCCCAGATAAGCCGTCCGCTATCTTAATGTAAATTCTATGGGCGGGAGACACGGCGATGACTGATGGGACGGATGGTGGAGCAGAGGAAGATTCTCATGGAGATCCTTGCAGATGGTGAAGCAAGAGTTAGTGGAGCTGCGTTTGACATTCTGGAGATTAATACAGCAGCAAGCGGCTATTATGTAGAAGATACAGTGGAGTAACATCCACTTAAACAGGGAATGAAGTTTCTCTACCTCACAGGAGATATTTCACATTTAAAAATGCTCTGTATTGATAATGTAACACTATATCAATGTTATACTACCCATTATTACGTTGAAAAATACTTTTTAAAATATATTTGCTGCCTTTCCAGAACTATGAAGTCAGTTCTATAAACTTTCAGTAAATAGTATCACAGTGATTCTAATGTCTTTGACCTGAATGCTACTTAAAGCTGTCAGTTTAGACGACTAACGGCACAAAGTCAACATAATGCGACAAAGAGCAAATCAAAATCTTCTTCTATGGTCCTATCGTGTCAGGCGGACCGCTTTGCGAGGGAAGGAGTTGTTTCAATCTATATGAAAGGTATTGTTCCCCTTGGTGATGTCATCAAGGTTAAACCAAATCCTCGGGGAGAACCGCTTGCCGGCGGCTTTTCTGTCTATTATATTCAACCTTCAACCCAGAACCGCAGATGAGCCCCATTCACTTCATCTCGGCGAGGCCTCCTGCCTGTGAGCCGGATACAAAAACCAAATGCTGTCAAATTAAAAAATAAAATAAGTAAATCTACTAAAACAACTTCCATTGTCCTTTTGTTCTCCTCGCGCCCCGTCCGAAGGAGGAAGTGGTGTGAAATGCAATATCCAGTCTTTAAAAAATGAGCGGATGGCTCTCAAGACGATTCTCCTGCAATCAATAGAATGCGTCCAGGTATAGATCTGAGCCCACTGCTGTTCTACTCTCTGACAGATCTATGCTAAATGTCCCTCTGTGTGTGTGTGAGGACTACTCCGTGTCTGTGGACACTAACGAGGCCGTGACAAGCAGAGAAGCCCGTCCCCGCCATGTTGTGTGTCTGTTGTCCGGTCCACAAACTGTTTCTGTCCCCCGGCTCTCACAACAAGCGCATCGACTGAAGAAAAGATCGATTCGATTCCCCAGAGAGAACGTGGCAGACTGACAGACTTACGCTCCGCTTCCAGATTTGTGGAGTTAAAGCTGCAGGTGATTGTGCAGAGTAAGAAGAAAGGTGGGGCAGATTATTGGTTTGTTATAGAATATTTGTTCTTTCATGTAGTGGGGTTTTTTTTTTCTCTGACGCCATTAGTAAACATTTTCCCTGTTAATTTCTTCAGTTTTCCATTTACTTAAATGAATTAATGGATATCTATCATAACGCAGTATGTTTCCGTGTTGCCCAAATACTGAAATGTTTGTAAGTAACCCCTTCAAATGGAACGTTGAGGTTCTGCAGGGATAGCCGGGCCACACTCTTGTTTGGTATCGACTTCTGTAAAAATCCCACTATAATTTTAATGTTTCAGTCGAAAAAAAATCATACAAAAATGATCATCCGCCTCACGGTTCAAATTGTTGACACTACAAACGCACCTGAAGGAACTCACTGACCTACAGCAACAATGAAGCTACACTCAACCCACAATGCAACGCTCTGTCAGAGGGTTAAACCAGTACACTCTCTTTTATAGAAACGCGCCTGTGCAATGTTTATCTCTGAATATTTTATGAGCGTTTATAGAAAAAATGTGAAGAAAAAAAAAAACCTGTCAAGCACATGTGTGTCTGTTCCGATGTGTGTGACGCTGAGAGGGTGGGAATGATTTGGTGTACTCAGACACTTCTTCCTCCAAGTGAGACAACTGAATCTTCACCATTGGAAAACTGTTGTCTACGATCCAGCTGTCATGCAAGAGAGACACTTATGGAAAAGTTTCCATATGATTTTTAAGCTTGGATTCGTGGTGCAAACATTCCACCTTAATTAAAAGGCTGCATGTCTCAGGAGACGTCGGGGTCAAGTTCATGCAGTTTATTTAAATCCTGATTTATCTCTAAAGAGCAGCTGCATTCTAAGGCTGTTTGTAGTACTCTAAAAGGGGGCCGTGTGAGTGGCAGCGCCGAGCAGCACAGCGCCGTCCGGGGCATTAAAATGACACGTTGTCGTATTTAGAAAAGTCTTCTGCGCTCGCCGCTTTGAACCGCTTTCACCTACTACTTTTGCCCACATTGTATTCACACGGGAGGCTTGCGTGTTACGCCGTGGTGCAGATGTTTGCTTTTGATGCACCCTGAAAAACGAGAAGAGTCAGGTTCACGCCACTTGATCCAAGGGTTGCTGTGGCATTAATTGCTCCTCATACACTGTGGAGGGAGAGCCAGGTAGAATCCAAAGGACTTCAAAAAGGACACAGATGAATCCAGTCAGCTACACGTTCATTAAACCAAGTCAAACTAATGCAAATGTGTTATAGCCTCCTAATAAATAATAATACAAACATCCAGGAGTCCAAGGGGAGCATTAAGAAGTCCTCTCACTGCTTCTATGGACTCATAGATATTTAGTAAGTGTTATATACATTTACCTCTGGCTGAGGAAGTTGTATGCACTGAAAGCAGGACCCCTGGTTGCGGCCTCAACACAAATAGCGATCCGACAGGTCAGAGTGGGCCAACTTACTTGAACCTCCCCTGGCAGTGCTGGCAGCGATCCCCGACCCACCCGCGGTCGCATGCGCAGCTCCCGTCGATGCACTTCCCCGAGGGACAGTCCGTCGCGCAGGACCTGGACACGGAGGAGGCTTCCGCGTGGAGCACGAGGTGCAGCATGACGAGGACCCCCAGGTACGTGGTGGGGACGCGCCTCCCGGCCCCCGTCCAGGTGCACAGGTGAATCCCACAGAGATCCCCCATGGTGGAGCGCCAAAGGTCTGCTTGGTTTTAAAGGGAGAGGCTGCAGCCCCCCCCCCTCCCCTCCCGGGAGAGAGAAAAAATAAAACGAGCGGTCACCTTTTGCGCTGTGAGGTGTCGGACCTGTGACGCCCGGGGCAGGGGGGGGCAGTTATTTGGCTCTATCCGAACATGCGGGGCGGCGTGGAAAGAAGACCGGAAACTTTGCTGGAAACAGTCTGGACGCCACGAAAAATTAAAAAAACTATTCCAACCGGAGCAGCAAGGCGAACACACAAAAACCCGCTGTCACGCGCTCCGCGGCGCGTGCCCGCCCAACAAGTCTCCCAGATAACTTCCACTGTGGGTCCGACGTGGACGCCGTGAATGACCGGATGATGCAAAAAAAAAAAAAAAAAAATAGAGAGAGAGAAACGCTGTAATCCCCGAAGGTGAAAATAACCAGGAAAAATAACACGGAGCTGCTTCTCGCCCCTCCACCTCCTCCACCAGCTCCACCAGCTCCACCAGCCTGCTGGACGTGTTCGCCTCGCGCACAAAGACGCGTCCTCTCCGCCCGGGCGCGTGGTCTCAGGATGCGACAGCTCTCTGCGCTCGCGCTGCCGCTCCACAGCTGGTTCGGTGACGAGGGGGGCGGGGTTAAAGGGGCGGGGCCGGTTACACGTCACCGGCAAAGAAAAGGCAGCGTGTTTTTTAAAGAAAACATCTCTGAAATAAATTATATGTGTATATATATATATATATATATATATACATATATATATATATATATATAAAATAAAGGAATAAGTGTTAATGTAAAAAATATTGCTATATTAAAAATTAAAAAATAGAGTGCGCCGCGCAGCAGAGAGTGACAATTGAAAGTGATATATATATATATATATATATATATATATATATATATATATATATATATATATAGCGCCACCTGCCCCAAGCAGCAGTTTGCCGTTGTCGCCCAGCAACAAAGACCCGTCTTTATTGGCCAAAAGTGATTGAGACCGATTCTATTCTCCCGGGTTTGTTGCTCTGCTCCAATATTTAAATATTTCACGTCCACTTTAAAAAACTCATCTCAGTAACTTTGTCAGTCACTGCTCTCCCTGGGCTTAAATCCCTGCGGCTGATTCTTATTTAGATTCCATATTATCAGACTACAGCAGGTTTTCTGGCAGCTGGCCACTTCTTGAGGAAACAGCTGGTTTATTGCTGGCTTTTTCGCAATTCTGCTGCCCCCCAGCACCGCACACCTTGCTGCTGCTCTACACTTCTTTCTTTCTCGCCACCTAAATTGGATTTCCGCCTCTAAAATTGGAGAAAGCATCTATCAAGTGTCTTGAGAAGGTAGCACAGATGTGGGCACTGCTCTGCCTTTGCAAGTCAAGATAAATGACAACTCACGTCCCATTAAAATGAATGGGTTATGAAGTAAAAATGAATTGTCAGAATTTAGAGTCACAAGTGTCAGTTTGATGTTCTTTGGAGCCTCTGAATCCGACTGCATACATGTGAACTAAAACCCCCTCCAAACTATTTTTCTGCGTGTTGTTCTACGTGCACAACTGGGCTCTTCACAGCCCCCCGGGTATTAATGCTCGCTGTTTGCCCGTGGGAAATTGGTTAGGTGTCGTTATCCCTGCAGCTTGAGTTGAATTCTGTTATAGATCGTTTTCACCCCCCACCCAAGGGCCGAGGTAGGATTATTGATTGGCTTTCACAAAGAACCCACTGTGAGGAAAAGGAAAAAAAGAACAAAAACTAATATTGATTTTTGACAGCTGGTTTATAATTAAATAGTGGAATAACTAACTGCACCAGGGGGACGTGGATGAATGAGGATTACGAGGATATAAAGCACACAGATTGGCTACGGGCGATGTCATCGGTTATTCTGCTCGTCTTTCTACCTATGCTCATGTTAATAACATCCACGTCCAGCTGTGTGGTGTTTAACAGGGTGGATGTGTCATAAAACATTGTGTAGAGACTGCAAATTGTGTGAGATCGCGGCCATTTTACTGTGACAAGTAGAAAGAACACACAAACACACACACACACACACATGTAGAGTGAGTGCATGGAGAGAGTTAGTGGATGGCGGAGAGAGGAGAATTAAATGAGCTTTGGGAAAAAGATTATAAAAGATTATAGTTTAGGGCCGCTGCTTGGCGCCGCCTGGTGTTTCAAAGCTGCTAATGCGCCGACAAACAAAGACTGTCCGACCGGGTTGGTGGTCTTCATTTACTGACGGTTACTGACATGTAAATACACAGTGAATGGTAAAAGAATATAACCTGCAGATTGGAGATAAAGGACACAAGGAAGTGTTTTTTAATATTGATTCAAATGGGCGGAAAGAAAAGAATTATTCTACATAGAACTATAGAATTAAAACTACAAAAATACGTTAAAGAAACCCACATTTAATCAAATTAATAATGTATTTATTTCTGTGATTTGATATATTTATATGGAAGTTAATGTGTAATATTTTATGTCATATTGAAACTAATATGAAGAGGTTGAAGCTGAAATTGTTGCAAACTATTAGTAATCATATATTTTCTTAACAAAAGAGAAAAAAAATGTTCTTTTAACTATTTGGGGAAGATAAACTGTCCCTCTTTTTTTCCCTCTTGGACTCAGACGGTTTCACATTTGTGTCCTTTCATTTCTGCAACGTCTCAAAGTGGAGAAAAAAAAGTTCCCTTGAAGCTTTATTTCCCTGCAGGAACGTGGATGTTACTGTCCTGGTGACCATGGCAACAGCTGTGATGACACCTACACCATGACCCTCTTTACCGTTGCCAAGCATGTGTCCATTAGATTCAAAATAAGCAAGACAGAGGCGAGACAGAGGGGAGAGAGTAGGGACAGAGGGGAGACATAGGGGAGGAAAGAGAGGGAGATGAGAGGGGACAGAGGTGAAAAATAAAAAGAAAAGCCGTGAGCCCTTTTCTGCATCAGGAGGGGAAAATCTGATTTTTATGAACTTCAGATTGAATGTCAAACAGAATGGAATAATGGAGGAAGAGTAAAATAAATTCAAGTGCAATGTATATTTATGCACGCTTAGCAGTTTCTTACATTTGTATTTTTAAGTGTGAAACGAATGATACATAAATATGCATACGTAATACTGATTAGATCTTGGTCTGATGTCATTAACCTCCGTGATGGTACAGCCCGTGGATCCAAACTGTCCCAGCACATCATTTCTCATGACATCACTAAAATACGACAGGATTTTATTTTTAAAAGCCTGAAGTGGCAAACGATCCCCAGGAGAGGGCAGAAGCAGTCAAGCTTCGAACAGGCCGAGTTGCCGTCTCCTGGTCCGGGATCGATCGGGCCTCCTCTCTGGTAAAGGTCCAAATGTAGAAAACATTGGAATTCAAAGGGTGGAGGTGAGAAAGGGATCGATGATTAATACCCTGGTCATCAATAGTCTCTTCACTGGAAAAACAGCCTCAATCAAACGTGTGTAGAGTTTTGAGCTGGACAGGTGGATTTCGTTGTGCATCTCAGCTGCATAATGACAGTGAGTGACCTGCGAAACTTAAGGTACAACATCTGGATTCAATGGCAGAAAATACAGACAAAATGAACCCATTCAACTGTGCAAAATGACCAATTGCAGAATCACATCTGCCTGTTGGCCATAGCCTCTATGGTTAATGGTCGTGGTTGATGGTCCCTGGTTCCTTCTCATGTTAATGTTAATGGACCATAGATCATGGTCATAGTTTGTTCCCCATGGTTCATGTTCATGGTACATCTTCATGCTTCATGCCCCAAGGTTCATGTTCATGGTACATCTTCATGCTTCATGCCCCAAGGTTCATGTTCACGGTCCATCATTTCATGGCCCTGGTTCATCCTCACTTGTCACGGTCCATTTTCGTGGTTCACCCTCACGGTGCCCGTAGATTCGTGTGCAGTGTTGGAGCTGCAGCGGTGAATTCGGAAAGAAGCTCGCGCGTGCCAGCCCCCCCCCCCCCACCTGGCAGCTAGTGAGACATCTGTTGCACCCACTTACATCACTGACAGTGTAGCGAGAGAGAAGATGCTTTACACTTCTGAATTTTACACCTTTTTGAATGAGGACACTTACTTCAGATCTGTTCTTCATTTTGGTCTTAACTATACATCTGTATAGTAGTGTATGTAGCTTGTATAGTTGTGATCTGCCCACAGATGGGAAAGGTGTTTCAAACCTCCTTAGTGGGGCGACTGTGGATCAGCGGAGAGAAGGCTCGTCTTTCAAACGGTGGTTCCATTCCACGGCAGCGCTAGTGCCCATGTCGATGGGTCATTGGGCAGGTGCTCATGTAGCTTTGACTATGAATGTTAGTTGCTGATGGGCGTGTCTCACCATGTTTGGCAGCTCCTTTCATCAGTGTATAAATGGGTGTGAATGTTTGAATGATGAAAAAAGGGCAATATAACTACAGCCCATTTAGTCAATGTCCCTGGAAACGCATTTGGGTATTTCATTTTTATCAATATCTCCTCAAACAACTAACCTCTACTTATGTAGCGATTTAGTGGAGGAATTTGAGCAGAGAATGAAGTCTTTGTAATTGTGTGTTGTTATTAGAGCTTCTCATCTCATCGTCCTCCCTTTTAGTGCA